CGGGAAGGGAGGGGTCTGGCCGCTCTCCGTGGTGCCCGCCTGTCCTGCAGCTCCCCCCTGCCCGCAGGGAGCTGGGGGCCGGCCGGTCCTATACCAAGCGGTGGCCCAGCACAGCTACTCAGCCCAGGGGCCCGAGGACCTGGCCTTGCGGCAGGGGGACACAGTGGACATCCTGTGTGAAGGTAGAGCAGGGCTGTTCTCCCAGGGTGGGTGTCATGCTCCCCGGGGCGTGGTGTCCTCTCCAGGGTTGCCGCCCTCCCCAGGGCAGGGGCTGTCCTCCCCAGGGTGGGTGTCATCCTCTCCAGGGGGTGCCGCCCTCCCCAGGGCAGGGGCTGTCCTTCCTGGGGCCGAGTGTGGGGCTTCGGGGTTTGACCAGCAGCCGGTCACCCAGGCCAGGCTTGGGGACGTGCCCTTGGAGCCCAGCATCCTTCCCTTGCAGTGGACCAGGCGTGGCTGGAGGGCCACTGCGACGGCCGCTTTGGCATTTTCCCCAAGTGCTTTGTGGCCCCAGCCGGCCAGCACCTGTGAGGACCTGCCCACCTGCCTGCCCGCCCCAGGCCCAGTGGGAGCTCAGTCAAGAGGCCCCTTGCTGAAGAGTGTTTAATAAAAGTAGTTCCCACCACAGAGTGGTCTGTGTTCGGGGCTCAGGGACGGAGGGGGTCCCGGCCAGAGCCCCCGAGGGGCCTGGGGGGTAGACCGGCCCGGGGAGCCCCTGTCTGGTCAGCACAGCAACAGGGAGGCCGGCCCCCGCCTCGGCCTCCCTCCCTGGCCTTCGGGAAGCCGAGGTCCCCACTGCCAGCCAGGGGCCGGGCCCCTGTGCCCCAGCGGTCACTCCCACACGCAGGCCACACACAGGCCCAGCAGTCACACAGCCTGGGCTACAGCAGGCGCTGGCAGCTGGTGTGTGTGCGGGGAGGCATCTGCGGTCCTGGGAGGCGGGTGCAGGGGGCGCTGGGACACCAGAACGGCCGAGACGTCTCTGTGGCCGGTGAGCCTGAGGGCGGAGTGGGGCCTGGGTGCCCAGGAGGCCCCCGGGGGTGGCCGTGCCTCTCCTCTGGCCATGGGGTCAGGGCCCGGGGCTCCAGCGTCAGGCTGGAGCCTCCTCCCCAGGGCCCTCACGCCAGGCCAGCTGCACCGCAGCCGCCATGAGGACGGCCACCAGCGTCAGCGCCACGAACACCACCCCGGTCGCCCAGACACCGTGGCTCTGGGCCCGGCCCTGGGCTGGTGCCTCGGCTGGGATCAGGCCCGTGAGATTCAGCATGTAGCCCAGAGTCCAGCCGATGTCCGTGCCTCCGGCCTGCGGGACACACGGCTGCTCAGGCCTCGGGCGGCGGCCGGGCTCCTCCCCCCGCCGGGGTGGGCATCACCTGCTTGTGGAACTCCACGCGGGGCCAGGTCTCCTCGCTGAACCCGTAGCCCTGGTGCAGCAGCGTGAGGATGTACAGGCCAGAGGCGCAGTAGTCCCGCAGCCAGCGGTCCTGCCCCGGGTAGCTGGCCTCCACCTGCAGCCAGGAGGCCGAGGGCAGCTTGAGGGCCGGGCCCTCCACGGTGGGGGCCGCCCCCCTGGCCAAGCAGCCAGCC